GCCGCTCCCCGGCGTCCTTCCTGAGCTTCCTGCTCCTGCGGCTGAGTCGCTCCTGGAGAGACCGACGCCCCTGCTTATCACACTGCGGCGAGGGTGGCCCCAGGGGCGGTGGCCGCACCCCGACCCCGGGTGAGGGAGAGTAAAATTCTGCCTGAAGCGGGCGGCTGCCGGGTGTCCGGCGTAAGGCGCATGTGTTTATTTAACGAACAACGTCGGGGAAAAAGCAACGGGTAACATTTTTAAAAGACTTTACACAAAAATAACAGTAATGGAACCCTTTCCACTTGCTTTCAGGAGATTTTGTCGTTGGCTCTTTACGGGGAATATTTTTAAATACTGTCATTTCTGCCTCGCTCCTTTCATAAACGCTTAAAAACACATTGCTTCACCCCCGGGAATGTGCAGGAGAGGCTGGGGTTGGACAAGACGGCTTTGAAAGTTCTGACCCGGAGGCTCTGTGCATAAAACCCAGGTCAAGGGCTTGGCCGGCGGCTCAGTTGATTAGAGCGGGGCCCCCATACACCAAGGCCGTGGGTTTGATCTTGAGCAGGGCACATACAAGAGGCAACTGTGCGTGCATGAATGAGTGGGACAGCAGATCCGTGTTTCTCTCCCTCTCTCTCTCTCTAAATCAATTTTTTAAAAGTTTTAAAATCAAGATCCAGGGACTGTGGGCAAGAGATCAGCTAGAACATTCAGGCAAACAAGGGCTTCAGTAAGCAGAGGAGACAAAGATGCCACCGGGAAGTTATTTAAAGCCTGTCACGTCAGGGGCCTTGGCTGCAGGCTCCTGGGCAGAGAGGGCGCACAGCCCCGAGGGGGGGGGGTCCGTGCGCACCTCACGCGGGCTCTCCCCTCCATGGAGGCCGGGGAACTGCTGTGTGAGCACAAGAGCTGATGGTCCACAAAGCTCCCAGGATCCTCCCCTGGCCAGCTGTCAGTCTACACACTCTCCACCCTCTCAAGCGAACTTCCGAGTGAGCCCTCCCTGAATTCACGTCGGTCCTCGTGCCCTCTGGCTCCCCTTCCATCTCTCGGTTCCCCTCAGCTTTGGAAACTCCTCTCCAGCATCTCCAGGTCGATGCCCAGCCGCTGAGCCACGCCCGGCGGGCGGCCCTTTGCACCTTTCACATCCCCGATCTACGCGCCGCTCCTGTCCTTTCCTCCTCCAGCCATCTCAACAAACTGCAAACCTACTCACACTGCAGACGCCGTCTTTTGTTCCCCGTTGCTGCAATGGAAGAAGTGCACCTCCTCCCAGCCCAGCATCGCCCCCACTCTGCCATCACGGCCTCCCCCTCAGCACCCGCAGCACCCAGCCGGCGCTCCTGCCTCGCTAGTCGGGCGGCTGGGCCCTCCGCTACCCTACACTAGGTGCGGCCTTCCCAGGACCTTGGAGCTGCTCCTCTCTAGGCTCTCTCCTGAGGACACTGCGTCCGCTTCCTTGGATTTAAACGTCATCTTTGTTCTGATGGATCCCTGCTTTAGGTTCTGGGCCTACTACCCCACCCTCTCTTGGAGATCCAGCTTTCATACCCAATGCACATCGAAGACCCTACTTGATGTGTCTCAGCCGGACTCAACCGGTTCTCAATGAAATCTGATGTTTTGTTCAAACCTGTTTGCCCACCCTTATCTTTCCACCACCCTCCAAGCTACTCAAACCAAAGGTTCATGAAGTCGTCTTTCAGCCTTTCATTCCCTCACTCCATTTCTAGTCTACCAGTGTATCCTGTCGGTTCAAGTTCTAATTATAAATTCTTCTAATATCACAGGACTGTCCAGACTTGGGTCTCTGCATGTACCCCCCTTCTTCCTGGTCTTTCCACAGTGGATGTCTCGTTTTCTAGGTCTCAGCTTTGCTGTCACCTCCTCTGTGAAGCCTTACTGACCACACTAACATGGGTCACCCAGAAGGAGTGAGGTGAGACCGGGAGGGCTCTGTCTCTTAGGCTTTCTCACTTATTTCCTCCGCCTCCTCGCCCAGTGTCACAGCACATCCTCAAAGAGCCCAGCACCTGAGGGAGACGCTGGGCATTCATCCTCACTGGGCAGGAGGACAGCTTAGTGAAAATTTGCCATTTCCAGTCAATCAGATTCTAATCTATTGAGGCGCTGTGAGAGAGGCTGGAAAAAATAATGCTCAGGCTCACCAGCAAAGTAAACATATAGCCACAAATTCTGAAAAATACTGTAAGACATACGTGACAGTAACACACACTGCAAAGGTCAGTGTCTAAACATTGGTCTAAGATGGTTTGACGTGCAGGCAGGAGAACAGAAGAGTCAAAAAGACCCAAGCACATCTGCACATGTGGCGTATTATAAAGTTGGGGTTCAAGTCACTGGGGAACGATGGCTTAAATAATGAAGGGTGATGGGAAAATTGACAGTGACTTGGAAGTTACCTCACTCTCTCACCAAACTATATCTGGGATATTGTAAGTCCTCCAAAATATATGCTGAAGGGCAGTCATTGCAACACTCAGGTGATCTCAAACCAAACAGTAACTGGAAATAGCACAGAGTCTGCCCATTTATGATACAGTCACAGAACTAAACACCACACAGCTGTTGAAAAGAATTCAGAGGTCCAGCCAGTGTGGCTCAGTTAGTTGAGTGTCGTTCTATGCACCAGGAGGTCACCGGTTCCCCTGGTTCTGGGCTTGGTTACAGGCTTGATCCCCAGTGGGGGCATGCAGGAGGCAGCAATCAATGTTTTGTTTGTCTTTTAATTTTTTTGTTAAATATATCTTTCTTGATTTCAGAGAGAGGAAGGGAGAGGGAGGGATAGAAACACCAATGATGAGAGAGTCGTTGATCGTCTGCCTCCCGCACGCCCCCGACTGGGGATCAAGCCGCAACCCGGGCATGTGCCCTGACCGGGAATCAAACCGCAATCTCCTGGATCCTAGGTCGATGCTCAACCTCTGAGTCATGCCAGCTGGGCTCTAATTTTTTTTAATCCTCACAAGAGGATTTTTTTTCCATTGCTTTCCGGAGAGAGTGGAAGGGAGAGAGAAAGAGAAACATCGATGTGAGAGACACATCAACTGGTTGCCTCCTGCACACGCCCTGACTGGAGCCGGGGATGGAGCCTGCAACCAAGGTATGTGCTGTTGGCCGGAATCGAACCCAGGACCCTTCAGTCTGCAGGATGATGCTCTAACCACTGAGCACACTAGCCAAGGCCCAATCGATGTTTTGGTGTTTCTCTCATACATGTTTCTATCTCTCTCTCCCGCTCCCTTCCTCTTTCTGAAATCAATAAAAACATATTTTAAAAATTCATAAAATTTACATTTACTGACAGAAAAATGTGAAAATGTCCAAGATGATAAATAAGTTACAGAAAAATTATAAAGAGAATCCTTATGTGTGTATTTGTGTTAAGGATACATTTCACACACGTAGGATTTTCTGGAAGGGTAATACACAAAATCCAACCATGGTCACCTCTGGGGAATGAGAACGCAGGTAAGCAGGAAGAAAGGCTTTTTAGTTTTGACTTTATACCTTACCATGTTGTCTCAATGTATTACCAAGAGCATGTAACTTCTGTGATAAAAAATGAAGTAAAATAGGATACAAATAATCACTATAGAAAGGAAGGAAAGAAAAGACAAAGCGAGAGAAACATGCACTAATTTCCAGGTTTCAATATATTGCAGGAAAATTGTTAGTGTTGATTATTAGCTAATGATTCCATTTCTAGCCAAATCTCTAGTGCCATCAGGCAGGGGACGCGTGGTCTTCACGCTGGAGAGCTCTGTGTGTCCTAGTCCGACTCCACCCCACGGCCAGGCAGAGCGAGTCACCCATGCTTCCTGGAGCCGCCTCGCAGTGGCAGCTCCCCTCTTAGGCTCCTATTTTACACACCGACACTAACACCAGCAGCAAAATGTAGGTGGAAAAGCAAAGACGAAGCAGACGAAACAAAGAAGCCTGTGATGTGCCAGCGTGCGGACAGAGGGCAGAAAGGAGTTTTTCGGGAGGTGGCCTCTGGCCTCGCCTTGTAGTGACGGATGGCGTCTTCAATGGCCAGCTCGCGGTGAGACTCATGTTCAGGGGACACCAGGCACTCCACACACAGAAGCAGCCTGCTCTCCTCACAGAACCAGGACACCTTCTGGTGGCTGTGGCAGATGTGGCCCTCCCCCAGGACCCCCTCGGAGCAGGGCTTCCGGCAGAGGGGGCAGCCGAAGACGCCAGAGGCCGAGGCCTTCTCCACGCGCTGGGCCAGGCGCGCTCNTGTTTCTCTCATACATGTTTCTATCTCTCTCTCCCGCTCCCTTCCTCTTTCTGAAATCAATAAAAACATATTTTAAAAATTCATAAAATTTACATTTACTGACAGAAAAATGTGAAAATGTCCAAGATGATAAATAAGTTACAGAAAAATTATAAAGAGAATCCTTATGTGTGTATTTGTGTTAAGGATACATTTCACACACGTAGGATTTTCTGGAAGGGTAATACACAAAATCCAACCATGGTCACCTCTGGGGAATGAGAACGCAGGTAAGCAGGAAGAAAGGCTTTTTAGTTTTGACTTTATACCTTACCATGTTGTCTCAATGTATTACCAAGAGCATGTAACTTCTGTGATAAAAAATGAAGTAAAATAGGATACAAATAATCACTATAGAAAGGAAGGAAAGAAAAGACAAAGCGAGAGAAACATGCACTAATTTCCAGGTTTCAATATATTGCAGGAAAATTGTTAGTGTTGATTATTAGCTAATGATTCCATTTCTAGCCAAATCTCTAGTGCCATCAGGCAGGGGACGCGTGGTCTTCACGCTGGAGAGCTCTGTGTGTCCTAGTCCGACTCCACCCCACGGCCAGGCAGAGCGAGTCACCCATGCTTCCTGGAGCCGCCTCGCAGTGGCAGCTCCCCTCTTAGGCTCCTATTTTACACACCGACACTAACACCAGCAGCAAAATGTAGGTGGAAAAGCAAAGACGAAGCAGACGAAACAAAGAAGCCTGTGATGTGCCAGCGTGCGGACAGAGGGCAGAAAGGAGTTTTTCGGGAGGTGGCCTCTGGCCTCGCCTTGTAGTGACGGATGGCGTCTTCAATGGCCAGCTCGCGGTGAGACTCATGTTCAGGGGACACCAGGCACTCCACACACAGAAGCAGCCTGCTCTCCTCACAGAACCAGGACACCTTCTGGTGGCTGTGGCAGATGTGGCCCTCCCCCAGGACCCCCTCGGAGCAGGGCTTCCGGCAGAGGGGGCAGCCGAAGACGCCAGAGGCCGAGGCCTTCTCCACGCGCTGGGCCAGGCGCGCTCTGCAGAACAGGCGGCCACAGTCTGTGCTCACAGCCTCCGTCAGGCTCTCCTGGCAGATGGGCCAGATGCCCTCTTCCCGGGGCTTTTCCTGCAAAGAGGCCATGGCCTCCACCCCACACGGCCAGCCTCCTGTCTCCAGGGCTTCCCTCCCCACTGGGCTTTGGACAGCCCCCCAGACAAACGTCCAGAGAGGAAGGCCCGGCTGGAAGGAGGCAGTGCTGGAGCAGCCCGGGGGACACGGCTTGGGCCTCCCACTTCAGGCAGCTGCTGCTCACACTCTGGAGCCAGCACGGGGCACCTCGCAGTTCCACACGAGGTACAGAATCTCCGCGGCTTTGGCTTTGACAGCACCCTCTGCTCTCCTCGTATTTACAAAACTCCTGATCTCTGTTTTTCATACCATCCCCTGGAGGAAGCAGGTGATGCAAAACCAACTCATTTTCCTCTCCTGAGCTTTCTGTGAATATGTTTACAGTTCAAAGTTAAAAGCCCAGAGTGTCGTGGCCAGAAACCAGAGAATCATAAACTTAAAAGTCAAAAGTCCTCTGATTTGCCCTCCGTTGACAGAATTTCGCACACTGGGGTCCTAGTGGGCTTGTGGTCACGCTCAGAGAGTCCGGCCACCTCTGTCAATCACTACTACCAACCATTAGCACCAGCATCTCTGTCAGCTGGTCATTCTTTCAACCGGCATCCTTCCCAGGGTCTACGGGTTCCGCAATGAAAGAGAAGAGAGCAGGACTCAGAGCAGAGCAGAGACCTGTGCAATGCTCCAAGGCACCTTTCCTTCCTCTCAAACCACCTCCAAAGATGACCCAAAGAAGGAAGGCTCCCCATCACCACTTCCCGAAACGCTGTGCATTCCCTCCCATTCCCTCGGCCCAGCCTCCTGCCTAATCCTCCTCCCAAAAGCTTTCTTAGTAACCTATCTCAGTTTCTCCAGCTGCAACTTCAGGTCATTCCTCAGGCTCCAGGTCTGAAGAGACGGCCAGCAGGTGAGTGGTCCTTTAAACCGTGTCAATTATACATGCCCACGTGTCGGTCAAACTGGGGGTGAAGTGAAGAGGCCCATCCTCTCCTGGAAACACTGAGTTGCCAGGAAAATGAAACTCCTCAAGGCCGGGTGACTAACCTAGGGTAGCTGAAAGGTGAGATGGACTTTGGCTGGTGCAAGGTGTGGCTTGTTTGCTCATGGGAAGAGGAAAGTCTCCGAGCTTTCGATGTGCTGACACGAACTGAGTCAACTCACAGAATGACTATGTTCCCCAAAACCCAGCTCGAGGTATCTCAGAACCAGGTGTCCCAGAACCATGGCACCTACTCACAGTACTGGCCACCCACGGGCTTCCACCCAGCCCTTGTTCTAACCCTGACACTGGGGGAGCCTGCAGGGTCCCATTAACAAGGGCTGCCAGTGAGGTGCTCAAAGGTCTGAGATTCTTGTTCAGACCTCACTCCATAGTCTCCTCCCTCAGCCCCACTTGGCCACTGTCTGCTACAGGGTTGCTACTAGAAACTTACTTTCCCCAAAGGCACTTGGCCTTCTTCTCTGAAGAGCTGTCCCCTCAAATCGCAGGGTCGTGGGTGGGGTGGGCATGGTCATCACCCCATTGCACCACCTTCTGAGCACTACTTCCCCAGAGCCACACAGCAAGACTGGTGTGGAGCTCTTGCTGCCCCCACAGAGCCATTTCCCTGACTCACTGAGGACTTGTGTGCCGGCCCGCAGGCTTGTCCCCACCCATGTCCTGCCGTCATCCTGGGTGATGCCAAGGACTATGTAGATGACTGTCCAACACTGAGGCCCTTGAGCTCTTTGACTGGCTTAATCCATTCACCTTTACTTTTGCCACCACCGTAGTGAATTCAGATTTCGCCACTTGAATCGCAAGTCCAGGCATCAGACTTGTCTTAGAGCTCTCCCTAAGCTGCAATCTCTAGTCCTTGACCCCCTGCATTCGACACCTCTGTCATCCCTCGTGAGATAACACAGGAAACAAAAATGTAGAGAGATGAAGCAACCCACCTAAGTCACAGTGGGGTAAACAGAGCGGAATTCAGATCTGCTTGCACCTCGCCCTGACCACGGGCCTCATCACCGCAACGCATCGTTCTCAGAAAGAGTTCAGCAAAGGCCTGATAAACGGACAGGCCAGTGGACCAATGACTGGATTCTGGACAGACAGGTGAAGAAGTCACACTTTGTACCACCTTAAAGCACTGACTACACAGCAACATCCCAGTTACTTAGGCTTATTGAGCAACTTGAAGGCAGGGACCCACTGTATTTAACTTAACACTATCTTAAGAGTGATTTAAGCATGGCCAGGTGGCTCAGTTGGTTGGGGCTTTGTCCCATGCACCAAAAGGCTGCAGGTTCAATTCCTGATCAAGGCACATACTTACGTTGTGGGTTTGATCCACGGTTGAGGCTCTTATGGGACGCAGCCAGTCCATGTTTCTCACATCAATGTTTCTCCCTCACACACTCTCTCCCTCTCACTTTCTCTCTGTTTAAAAAATCAATAAAAAATAATAATTTAAAAAATATATATAAGTTGTAAAAGGAAAGACAGATAAAGTCAAAAGATCTGCTTGGGGGAGGGGGCAGGGAGCACTGCAAAAGCAATGCTAAGAGACAAATGACCAAATGAAAATGTTAAAAGAAAACGTATTTACAACTACCATCAAAATGAAAGGGCTGCCCAGGCGGCGTGGCTCAGTGGTTGAGCGTCAACCTATGAACCAGGAGGTCAGGGTTCAATTCCTGGTCAGGGCACATGCCCGGGTTGCGGGCTCCATCCCTAGTAAGGGGCAAGCAGGAGGCAGCTGGTCAATGACTCTCTCATCACTGATGTTTCTATCTCTCTATCTCTCCCTTCCTGTCTCTGAAATGACGAAAAACATATTTTTTAAAAATGAAAGGGCTAATCTCTTTAACGCACAGGGAGCTCTTACAAATAAGAAAGAAATTATTAACTACCAAGTAGAAGATTGGTCAGAGTGAGATAGGCCAGTAAGCCAGGACTAGTGGAACAGGGAAACTGAGACTCATAGTGGAACAAACTGCAGAGAAATTTACAGCAGACACAGAAGGTCACCTCCCTAGAAACAACATCTAGGCCTCAGTTGTATTTCAGCTCCAGGCCCAGAAAAGCAGCAAAGCCCGCTGGACGACGCCAAGACCAGCTGCAATGACTATGACCCCCTGCCCTGACACTGACCAATTGGTGGAAATCACGGTCCTGGAGGAGCAAACCTAGAAAACAGATGAATATTCTGCTGAAACCCTCCCCTGAGACCTCCCCTAAGACTCCCATCTGTGAGAAAGAGATAAAGCCTCAAGACAAAGGACCCAGCTCGTGCTCTCCCTCTGGGGAGCAGCCCCTCCATTCTTTGCCCACGGGCACGCATCTCCTAAACTCTAGGGGTACCCCAGGAGACTTGCAACCAGGGCAGCAATGGGCAGCGGCTACTCCTCACAGGCGAGTCCCCTGAGCCTGTTCCCAAGGCCCCTTTTCTCTGACTTCTCTAGGCCCTCCTGCTGCTGCTTCTATGCTGAGCCCTTACTTGTTTTGCTGTCCCCAGCTTTAATAAATGTTCCCTCATAGTCATCTCGACTCGTGCTGTGAAATTTTTCCTCCACGAAGTCAAGAACCTATGCACTACTGGCTGGTCCTAGGCAGACCCACCAAGGGCCAGGTCCCTTCCAGTAACAAGAGGAAATAAACACTCCCTTCATAGGGAAAAAAAAATACAAAATATCTCTAAAACATATGAAAAGATGCTCAATCCCACTCACATGAAGGAAATGAAAATTAAGACACCTTCCATTAGCCCCGCTGGTGTGGCTCAGTGGTTGAGCATCAACCTATGACCCAGGATATCAAGGTTCAGTTCCCGGTCAGGGCACAGGCCTGGGCTGTGGGCTTGATTCCCAGCAGGGGGTGTGCAGGAGGCAGCCGATCAATGATGTTTCTCTCTCCCTCTCCCTCTCTCTCTGAAATCAATAAAAATATATATATTTTTAAAAAGATACCTGAAATTAGCTGTCTGGATGGCTGGAGAAAAGAGGTGGGAGAGACATTCCCTTGTGTTCCCAGGGCCCTTTTCACTGGCAAACTTTCCTCCATGGCCCCTGCCTTCCACTGCTCTGCAGACCCTGCCTCTCCTGGGCTATGTCCACCCCCTTCCTGTTACACAGCTTTATCCCCTCCTTCCCCCCCACCAAATCTAAACATTTCTTTGCTACCTTTCCACAGCCTAGTATTTCTTGCGCTAAGGAACTACATTGACATTTTTTAAGATACCGTGTTGTTTTTTTTTAGTGAAATGTCCCAGCACCCCTTTCTTCCTTCCAGACGTGAAAAAAATGAAGCCATCCTGTCTTCGGAGACAGCGCCACCTACTTACTGCCCATTGAAAGGCAGCTGCCAAACAGCTGAAGGAGCCTCTCCAATGCCTGTTCTGGGCATGGTGGCAGGTAGCTCAGGTAAGGATAATTTTAGAAGGTACATTGAATTTGAGGTGGTGATAAGACATCCAAAGTTGCACAGGAACTTAAACTCAGAAAGGAGACAAGGATCTGGATGACACTGGGGCTCACAGAGGTTAGGGGACCTGCCCAAGGTTACTGGGAAAGTGGCAGAGTGCAGATGGGAATCTGGCCTGTCTGCCTTGGAAGTCCACGTAGCCCCACCTCTCTGCATTAGGAGGGGGTGGGCTTCCTTATCTGATGGTCAGAGAGGAGAAAGAGAACCCAGGAGCTATCGGAGAAGAGAATTTCAAGGAAGGGACTGCTGCTGATGTAACATTTTAGAGTTGTCAGTTTGGGTGTGGGCTGAGAAAACATCAGTTGGATTCAAGTTTAGGATTTAGTTGGAGACTTTTGAAAGAGCGACTCAGATGCCCAGCACTGGGTTAGGCACCAGAGGGTATGCAAATATGGGAAGACATAGTGCCATCCCTTATGGAGCTAAGCATGAGCCAAAGTCAGGGAAGTTGGCCACAATTCAATGGTGGTTCAGGTAAGGGAGAGATGCGTATAGGTCCACTAGCCCCTCTGACTCCCTACGGCAAATTAGAAGGGCTCCTCCCCGCCTT